TTTTCAAATATAAATATAAGAAATTGGTAAATAATGTTTTATATGGTGAAAATGCAGAATTATTTTATTAATAATCAAGCAGTGTTCAAATTTAACTGAATTATTTGAAAATAACAAAGTCAAAGTTACAGTGTTTTTTCTTTGACAGTTTCTGTTCAATTTTCATTGTGTGAGCCTTCAGGGATTTTTCCTCCTCTCTCATAGCCTCAGTGAATTGGTCACTGTGAGTAGACTAAAGTTTTTCCTTTTTCAGCTTTCTAAAAGCTTTCATCGATTGATAAAAGGAGGTGATTAATGTCAGACTCAAGTGTGATTTTTCTTATGTTTGAGATCTTCTGGACTTCTACAACATCACTGAGAAACTGCCTGCATTCAAGTCTATAGCCTAGCGAGTCTTTGTCACTAATTTTTGAAACCATCTTTAAATCATTAATGACTTTCTTTCTAACAAAAACGGTATCAATTTCTGAAGGTTCCTTTAAAACCTTTTTTGTCTGTCAAATCCAGGCTTGCAAGGTGTTGTGGTCCAGTTATATTTTCTAGCCGCTGAAGTAGAAACTATTTCCAACAATTCCCTGACAAGGCCAAAGAGATCTGCAACCATAAAAATCAACATCAATTCATCATCCTGGCATTCTTTGAGAAAAGGTTCGATCTCTCCTGCAACGGACAGACAAAAAAATTGTGCTTTGAGGATGAAGAGATGGGAACTAACAGCGTCAAGAATACTTTTATATAATTTTAATTTTGGTGAGGTTTTCTACACACCAACATATGTTTTAAGATGAAGTAGCAGGGACAAGCGCTGATGTTCTCCGGCCATCGGTGTTTCCAAAATTTTGTTGGAAGGTACAAGCATCTGGTCTCAATTTTGAAGTCATCTGCTCTTGCTGGAGAATGTTTGAAAAAATAGTAGAAATTGGCCAGAATTTACAGTCAGCTGTTTAACACCCATCTCTAAAAGCATTGTGAACTCTGTGTAAACCACAAACTCCAATTTGCAACATGCGTCTTTTTGGACTGAGTTTATTAGCTTCGTAATTCCTCATGTAATTTTCAATAAACATTGGAGCTGTTCATGCACAAACACCTGCAATAATTTCTTAGAACCAAGGTCTGTAACGACATAGAACAGCTTATCAAATAGATCAGTCACATCAGCATGTCCTAAAAACTGATGTATCTTGTGCGGACAGGTTTTTTATCTCAAAAGCAAGCATGAATGTCACACCGTTTCATCAAACAAAATAAAATACCCATCAGACTTCTGAATTTTCTGTTTTAGTATGGAAGTGAAATATGATGCTAATCTATGTACGGCTAAATATGATGTTTATTCTTCCTCTTGGGCAATTTCATTGAAAAGTTCTGTGATCCTTTCATTTGAATGAAATGAGCCATGACAGTCCATAAAACTTTTTATCTTAAAACATCTGTAGCAGAAATAAATGACTGGATGCTGGAAGTTGGACTTGTGGCAGTTGCGGTGGTAGTTTGGTTTTTAAAATTGGCTATTTATGTTCAGGTGAGTTGAAGATGCAGATATTAGTATTCTTGACTGATATTGCCTTCAATGTCTTTATGTTTTCTGCACGTTTCTTGTTTGTCATGCGACTGCGCAGAGCTGCTTCTACCATGTTGCTGTTTCTAGGGTGTGAATCCCTTTCTAACTCTTCCTGGTAGTTTTGACTTGAAAATCAGCTACATTGGTCCGGCATTTTGCAGACCTGCAGGATGATGAAAATAAAATTCACAATACAAACAATTTTCATTTGATTACTTTATATTGGTCTTTATACCCAATACTCTACTGTATTAAATTATTACGTAATGCTTTTAAAGTTTTTAAGTTTGACAGAATTTATTAAATAATGTTTATCATAAGATTTCTCTTGAGATTTATTTGATTAACTACTGCTATTTATTCATTAAGAATCCTTATTTATATTATAGTATACATGTATTAACCTAGATTATGAATTTAACTTTGGTCAAGATTTTCACAATATCATGTCCAACGAACATTTTCAACATTTTAATGACAATTAGTGTGTGCGTGTTCACTTTAAGTGTTGAATTTTTGTTAAACGACAAAAAACAAAGTAAAATTGTGATTTTATGAACGAAAATCCAAAATGGAGTATAAGCCACTAACTACAATTTCACCCTACTTTTTATACTACATACACGAACAATTAGGCCTAAGACTTACTTTATCCGATTAGGTCTTTGGCATGGCCAGGTGGTTCTTGTGATTGAAAATGCATAAAACAACTGTCTGCCTGTATTTACGTTATCTGCTACAGATGTGGGAGGGGGTTTTGTTACACAACATATATATATGTAACGCATACATTATGAAAAAATCAGAACCCGCTGATTTCAGTATCACTAAGGCCCGGCATGGCCAGGTGGTTAGGGCGCTTGACTCGCAATCTGAGGATCGCGGGTTCGAATACCTGGCCCACCAAACATGCTCGCCCTTTCAGCCGTGGGGGCTTGTAATGCGACGGGCAATCCCACTATTCGTTGTTATAAGAGTAATCCAAGAGTTGGCGGTGGGTGGTGATGACT